TTATTTAGCTATAACCTAAGGTTTTATGGATTGTGGTTGGCAATAAATAAAATTCAACTCATGAAACATAAAAAGGGAAAGACTATGGTAGAATATGATGACAGTCTCTGTGCTGGAAATTTATCTTCAACCAGTTAAAATCACAGAATTCTCTTTGCTTCCCAGGACCTGCTCATACTCCACCAGATGTTTGTTCTGTTACTTCAATTAGAACAGTCCTTAGAATATCGACTATGTTGTTTTCTTCTTTTGGTATACTTCTGTCTCTTGAAATCACTCAGTACCCAAAAGTTATTGTGTAGTTGAGGATTGGATAAAGAACTAGATAGAATATAATTTAACAAATTATTTTTATATATTTCACATTTTAGTGCGTCTTCAATTTGGATGTTTCTTGCAATGATTGGCACAGTAGTGATATATTTTTCTCTTTTGGGTGACAGAAAACAATTCATCTTAAAATTGGTGATATGTTAGATTTGAAGATATATGATAAGCTACCAGCTTTTCTATCTTTATCTTCATCTTGTCACTGGAGAGGCCCTCTCTGTCACTCAGTTTGAAACTCCAGGGGTCGTACCTTATAGTAAATTTTCTGAGCTTCATCAGTGGAAATAAAGTGAGTTTAGTGCAGAATGATATAAATGATAGTACTTCTTACATCAAAATCCTTATACTTCGCACAGACACTTTATCAAGTGACTGAGCAAACACAGCAGCCTTTGAAGTATTTGAAGAGCCATTGAATTTGAGAGTCTTCATGCCTTCACTCTTCTTTAATCTTATTAGTACAGCCCTCCTTCAGAACATGGCTCTTCCTTAGTTCAAATTTAAGGACATAGATTATAAAATAATGATTAAAATTTATTATCTACTTCAACCTGTTGGTAGATATATCAAATACTTAGGAAGATCTTAAATTTAAGAAATCATAATATTTTAAAAAGCTATCCAGATTGATAGGGGCCTATTTGATCTTCTTTTTTCAAATCAAAGATAAGTTTCTATTAAAAAAAATTAGCATTCTTTCCCCACAGTATTTTTCCAAAATGTGTAAGGAAAAGTTTTTGGTTCAATACTTTATATTTACCAATTTAAATGATCAAATGAACCCAATGAATAATGAATGGATATAAAACAATTGTGGTAAACCTCAGATAACCCAACTCCATAAGTAATGTTAGAATGCCAATCTTTTAAATTCGATTCCATTAACAATTTAGGTGAATATTATGTTATCTCATTTCCCTGTTTTTCTCAGGTGATATTCATTTTGGCCTGTTTTATGCTGAGAAGTTCAACTTTAGAATTAAATAAGAAATTCCATAAGAAAACAGTGGGCCTGATTCTTGACATAAAACAGGTAGCATATAGAGAAGGTAGCTTATAGGAAGTCAGTTAATCAGATCTCCATTTGACTTATGTGTATATCCCAGCTATACCACTTAACCAGTTGCCTGTCATTGGGCAAATCTGTTCTTTCTCCCACTTCTTTCACTATATTGAATATCAGTTTTCTTACTTTTGAGTACTGTACCTGAAACAGAAAATCTTGGTCTTTTTATGTCTCTCCACATTCTCTATCATACTTCAGCCATACTTGTTATCCTTGGACTGTTTGAATTTCTTGTTTCCCTAATTTAGCCTTTCTCCTCTTCTTTTTACTTTGTCTGTACCTGTGAGTTAATTTTCTTGATTTCCATATCCTTTCTGAAGAATATTCAACATCATTATACTTAAACTAAGAAAGTAAATATTCTCAGCCTAGTCCAACCTTCAAAACTGTTTATGTACCAGCTGCTAGTCCTGCCTTTTCTCCTCCACTCTCTCTTTCACTGCATACCTGTGTTTGCTCTATTTCAGACATTCATTGTATGCCTAATAATACTTCCCTTACAGGTTATTAATTGCATGTTAACTAAGACCATCTCTTAGTCATCTTTGTATCTTGCACAGTGTCTTGTACATTTTATGTACTTGGCAATTGATTGAGAGAAGAAAGATAATTTATTCTACCTTCTTAATATAAAAATTAGTATATATGACTTGACCTTTCTTGAAGAGTCAGGGTGCTCATCCTAAATATCACTTTCAAGAATTTATGGAGAACCATTTAAGAGAAGGAATTATGCTAGGTATAGGGAGGTAGCTATGGACAATGACAATCTGTTGAGGTGTCCTGCTAACAGTTCTATATGCTATGTTATTAGAAACCATATTAAGAAAGTAGTTTGAGATAATAGAAATTATCTCTGAGTTTTGTTTTTATATGTATATTCTTTAGTGGAAATGGGATAAATAGGCATCTTGAGGCTGTGTGGATTCCATTAATGGGTATATGTTTGTTTATGTATGCTCATATGTACACACTCATGTGGTGTGACAAAATACTGGGGTAAGAGAACATGAAAAACAAAAAAGTTAGTTGCTCAGATAAGCTCTTTACAATCATTTGTTCTAATTCTAAGCATTGTCCCTAAAAAGAAATTTTGTAAATTCGTAACTATAAAGCTCTTTTCCAACTATTATATTTAATCTAGTATTTTATTTTGTTGAAATTTCTGAATTTAAGGGTAGCATTTTCTAAAGGAAGCCATTATTTTCCTGAGTCATATGAACATAGGACTGGTGATTCCAAAAGTAGGCAGCAAAATTTTTTCTTTAAATTATAGATCAGAAAAATATGTCTAAACTGATGTTTGAAACTTTAGGGTTTTCATAGCATTTTTCTTTGTAGCTATAAATTGTGTATATATATAGAGAGAGTAAATTGTAACCATTTTTAAAATGATAATCCTTTTCAATGTCAAAAAGAAATAGATCCTTAATTAATGATTATTTTTTCAGTATCCTTTGAAAAAATATGAGTAAAAACTTATTAATTTTGCAGCTATTTTAACAGACTATCAGTTTAATTATCAAAAATATGTGACAAATCACATATATTAATTTTTATATTAAGAAAGTAGAATAAATTATTTTTCTTCCCTCATTCACTTGCCAAGTACATAAAATGTAAAAAGCACTGTGCAAGATACAAAGATGAGGGCTGGGGATGTGGCTCAAGCAGTAGCCCGGCATGCATGTGGCCCGGGTTCGATCCTCAGCACCACAAACAAACAAAGATGTTGTATCCACTGAAAACTAAAAAAAAATACTAAAATTCTCAAAAAAAAAAAAAAGATACAAAGATGACTAATTTTCAAACCCTAATAGCAAATGGGTGTAACAACATTATTTAGTCTTCAGACAATCTCCAATGCATATGTAGTTTTTTATATCTCTTATAATAACCTAACTCACTGAGTGGGAACTTTATAATAACACATAACTACCAAGTAGTGATTCTTAATCCATAGGTTGAGAACTACTTTTGAAGATATACTTTCCATATTTAGCCATTACAACCAAAAAATCTGTCATTAACCAGTAATTTATTAATTAATAACTTTTATGCAATACTTTTAAGAAAAAAGTTTTCTAGGACATATCTCTAAACTGTATTTTGTGTTTTGAAAATTAACCCAAGTATTTAGTGAACTAGAAGGATGGGCAAAAGCTAAACTTTTATTTTGATGGATCTACACATTACACAATGTTTCATTTGTTTACTTTGTTTCCAGTTATTATTTTCACCATTCATATCTCACCATTTTTTGTATTCATTATCTTAGAGACAAGGTCTGGCTGAGTTGCTTAGGGTCTCACTAAGTTGCTGAGGCTGGCTTTGAACTAGTGTTTCTTCTGCCATTGCACCTGGCTTCATTCTTCTTTTCAAACACATTGATAATCAGATGATCATCTTCAGTTTGAATCAGAGCAGGCTGACCTGGATTGACTAAGATGGAAACCACTACTTCCAGCAAAAGTTCCTTTCTGTGGTATATCCCTCTGCATCTCTGACCCAGAGGTTTGGAAAAGATGAAAATGATGGGTCATTGCTCATTACTCAGACTATTATTGTAATAATTTTGCTGTAATGAAAATATATGAACATTTCCAAGATAAAAAATTTATAAACTGGATGGAGGGTGGAAGCATTTAAACCTGTCTGTATCTCTCCTTAGGCTAAAAGACACTTAAGATTTCTAAGTAGTGATTGATATATATATATATATATATATATATATATATATATATATACACACATATACACACACACACATACATATACATATACATATATATGCATGATACAGTATTATTTATATATTTTATTGTAAATAATGGGTACATGATTAACAATTCACTATGAGAAATTAGATGTTAAATTATAGCAGATCACATGATTGCCAATGAATTCACCTGTGACATGATGATTGGTACATTTACTGGGTCATACTACATTAATAGAAGTGTGCTGTTCATAACAAGGACTTAACTGTTCAGGCCATGCATGTACACTTTGCTCAATTATGTGTTCCTCACAGTGATAATCTGAGACTAGAAAACCAAAATGGATTCAGAGATGGGGAAGGAATAAAAAACCCTATCAAATAAGGAATGATCAAAAGTTCTAGGGTTAAAGGTAATATGTAATTTGTAATATATTCAAAGAACAGATGGAACTAGCATAGATATTACTGAATATTTCAAAGGTCACTGTATACTAAAGTTATTATTTATAGCTTTTGCAGGTATAAATAATCCCAGGGAATTAAATTTCTATACAATATGGAAAAGAATCTCTTAACAAGTAGAATGAGTTGCTTTAAGACAAAGAAGATTCACTATTAATAGGGATATTCAGTTCCAGGCTGGATGATCACTAGATGAGCTGTGATAGAATTATAACAAGGATTTCATGGGTATGTTAACTACATAGGCTATAAAGTCCCTTTCAGACATGAGAATCTCTACAATATTGGACAAGAAATGAATACATAAGACCAATCATGATTTTAACAGTATCAGAATATTCACTTCTAAATTGCTCTCTCAGAACATATTTTATATCTCCTTCAACTTCTAAACTGTTGTGAATTCCTTAAGAGATGAACATTCAAAATTGTGCTAGATTCAGATGCAGCAGAATATGGAGGACACCAGAGACTGGACCACAATACTGATTTCTTTTCTGAGCCTTTAGAACACAATGGACGTCACTATTCTCTTTTGGTAAGTAAAGCTCTTAATGATATTTTCAATCTTTTTGAGTTTAATTATGTTTTAATCCTTTATTTTTATAGTGATACTTTGTTCAAAAAAATAATTCTTTAAATATTAACAAAAAAAAAGAGGTAGGAAAAGGGCACTGTCCTTGAAAACCAGATAAAATGCATTTGGGATTTGGACAGTCTTAGAGTAAAGGAAATTTGGGGACAGCTGGGGAAATTGGAGTATTAGTGGGATTAAACATTTCTCAAGAAATGAGAGGATGACAATATTTACATTTTTAAAATATGAATATTTTGGAGGGCTATGCTATATTTTTATTATTTTTTAAAGGGAATGAAATATTTTTAAATAGTTTTTTAGTTGTAGATGGATGCAATACCTTTAATTATTTTATTTGTTTATTTTTATGTAGTGCCAGGGATCAAACCCAGTGCCTCACACAGTCTAGGCAAGTGCTCTACCACTGAGCCACAACTCCAGCCCCTATATTTTTATTTTTTATGCAACAATTTCATTTTTTTTTGTTCTTGCTTTCTCTGTATTATTATACATTAAGATTTCTATAGTATTGCCTTTTAAATTAAAATACCCTAAAGGAATCAATTAGATATTATATTTCATATAGTAATACTGTGTTTCATATAGTAAATAGAAGACTTGAGTTCATTCTAGTTAGAAATTCTCTGATTTCCTTATATTACTGAGGAAAGCTTTATATAATATCTTATTTTTACTTCATAGTGTTACTTTTAAAGATGAAGAATTTGGCAACTTTTTAGATTGGGAGGAATTCTTTATTTAATTAATAGCCTTATAGTAGGCTCAAGATCACTTCTATATTATACTGTCTTTTTTTCTTTTTCCGACTGGTCATATGTCTGTCTCTCTTTCTCTCTCTCTCTCTCTCTCTCTCTCTCTCTCTCTCAGTCCAGCCCCTCCCCCTTTCCTTCTCCCTCTCCCTCTTCCC